AAACCAATAAAGCTAAAAATAAAACAAGTGAACAAACAAATGCTGAGTATAAAAATAGCAAACTTTAATTCTTCTTTACTCTGTTCCTTACTAGACCTTTGCTGTCACCTGGTGTCACACGATCTAGGCTTTTGACAACATGGACAAACACATTTTTAGCAATCAGTGAAGAAATCAGGAAAGTGATTGTGTAGGAATCTAAAACCATGTCACATATTTGGTGTATTCTTTAAAATCTAAATAAATCATTGGACATCTTTAACAATAGAGGTCTTAGGCTTAACATTATGCCACTGCAAAATTACCCAGGTTGAGTTTGTGCTCACTCAAACACACACAGGAGCTGATGGAGTGTGTGTTTTTCTTTGTCAAACTACCTGATTTCTCTCAACCACTTTCCAATGTCGCACCGTCTTTGCTCGTGACAAAAGTGCCCCTTGTTGCAGCCGTCCAGATGAGCAAACAGTAGCAGACTGAACTGCACTCTCCTCAACCTTTTGTCCCTCAAAATACAAAAGACCGTCACTTCTTTTGACAAATGATGCCTTAATTGTGCTGTTAACAAGTTAACAAGTGATTTTTCACAATGAATATTAAAGTGTATCATGGAAAGTTGTTGCCTTCTTATGTTTTTTTTTGTTGTTGTTTTTTTTTTGTCATGTCCTGCGGAGCTCCGTTTCTACACTTGCTGAGTGGTTCCCATGCTGCTCTATTGTTTAAGCTAAGATTACTGAGCTGTGTGAAAAAAAAAAAAAAAAAACTTCACTTACCAAGAAAAGACAAAGAGAGAGAATGTTCATGGAGTGACAGAGATGACGATCCCCAGTGGGGTGTTTTGTACAGTATTCATTATGCTGCTGTTTATTTCTGAAGTGTCTTTAACCCCTCTCTGCTCTGCCGCTTTCAAACACTGCCCCTTTCACCACCCTTTCCGTTTTTTGGCTCACATATCTTTGCTCTAAAAGGTGGTAAGTGAAGAATAGAACATCTCCATGGATTTGCATAATCTGATGGTATTGCTGGTGAGCACATAGAGGGCCGTGCCAAGTGCAGAAAGGTGAAGCTATCATCCATTCGCAGGGGGTAGCCTTCTTCAAGTAGAACAGTGATCTTCAACTCTTTAAATCTTTCCATTTTGCATTCTTCTGTCTTTAGGGGCACCTGCTTAATTTTTGCTTCAAAAAAGGGAATACCCTTAACCCTTTTTTGAGACATTGCTCCAGACAATCAAAGGGCATTGATAAGAGCTGTGTTTTTGTTTTTCCCTCCTAAACAGGCTCCATTCATGTCCTCTTACAGTGGCCGTCATTCTTCAGACATGGCTGGTGCCAAGGCAGTAGGAAGGGCTGCCTCTCTCTGATGGGAAACTGTTGCTCATGTGCTGGGTTGGCTGCCAAGTTTTGGCATTATTGGCGCGGGGAAGAAGTGGGGGGTAACACGGGGGAGGGGACTGTACAGAAAGGGGGCCCTTTAAACCCTGTGAGATAGTGCTATCTGCTGTGGGAATGATCTTCATCCCTACTCCCCCTACTCTCAGACTTAGACCCTGTCTGTTACTGTCTGCCTCCCCCACCCCTCAGCTTCACCCCCTGTTCCCCTTTTCATGCTGTAGATCAGACGACCATCCTGAGGTGAGCTGGCTCTGCATCTTATGCCACTGGGGCACTCTGATTACCAAACAGCGTTAACCGTTCGCTCTCTCACAGCTTGGGTTACGTCTTTGGCCTCAGTCCCAACAAACCCGCAGAGATGCTTAGCAAAGCTTGACTTTAGAGCTGGAACAGAAGCAGAGATCAAACAGTAGATTTCAGACACTTGCAGACCAAACAAACCATTTGAGGTACAAAGAGTTGTTCTGAACTTCCTCTATTTTGATGAAAATGTAAGGTACACACACACTCCTCTGTGCTTAATTGGAGGATTTACAATTAAGATGATTTCCATTCAACCAAGATTTTATTTGTCTTGATAGAAAAAAATGACTCTCTTAACACTTATTGTAACCTAATTCAATGTTTTGATCATTTCCAACAATCAATAGAAAATTTTACAGGCAAAGCGGCAATGAAACCCTTCTGATTATAGCTAAGCGGTTGTTGTTTATTTGTTTATATATATTTTGCATGTTTGCCTTTTTGCTGTCTTTGTTTGGTTAATGAGCTTCAAGTGTTTGATGTTAAAACACTTCATCACCATCATTATAATCTGTAGCTCCATGCACAAGTTCTCTATCAGATAAAATCTGCGGCTCTGATGAAACCACTCAGTCACAGTCCAGGCCAAACTGAAAAACATGTTCATTAAATTAAGAGGTTATTTTATACATACATCTGCTTTGGGTATGAACAAATATAGCCTTATTTTTTATCTATACCACCAAATGTTGAAAAATACAATTTATCACGACAGAGGAAGAAAAAGATTTTTTAATACTATAGGTTTTTACTTTTGGGTTATAATTTGTTTTATCACACATAAATCACATGACTTTCAGATCGGAAAGTATTCTTTTGGCGGTGAGACTAAAATTTTTCTTGCTTCTACCTCTTTAGAGTTTCTGATTTTTTTTCTAAGCTTGTCTGACATTTATTCCCATTAACAATAAAGTAGATGTGAGTTTTGTTGTGGCTCTCTTTGAGATGGCAGCCAGTGATGAATATTTCCCAAAAGAGATTATTGTTAATGTTCACCATGTGAGATATTAACGCCAAAGATAAACAGCCAAAGCTTTACCACTGCGCTCATTTTACATGACAATAAATGGTCCTGATTCTGTTTTTATCCCTGCTCAATTTATTATTATTCATGTGATGTGTTTCTACAAAAGCTTTCTCATGTGGTTGAACATGAACCCTTTCTTCCTGTTTAGTGTCAGGATTTAAACCAATATTGAGGCTGTTGGGATCCAAGTATTCCCTCAAAGACTCTTTTTTTCCCTCTTTTATCGTATTGTCACTTTTCCATCTGCAGGGACACTGTCTTTCATTTCTTTTATTTGCTCTCTTCTTGCTTGTCTTTTAAGTCAGAGGCTGGTTAATGTGGCTTTATCCAGCCACCCAGGCGATTAATGCTGCCGTATTCATCCTCTCTCCACAAAAATCAACATCTAGATGGGCGCACCTGTACATCTTTCCTCTATAAGCCTAATATGTCATGCATGTTGATTTTGCCTCCGAAGAAAAGAGCATGGAAAAGTTTTCTCTCTCTCCTCTCAGACACAAACTTTGATTTCATGGTCTTGATCATTTTTCTTCATAATCATTCAAGGATGAAGCACAAGGAGTCTGTGATTGTTCCCCATTTAGATGTGCCACAATGGGGCGCCTTGGTTTAGAAAACAAGATGGAGCTTCCCCCATTTCTTCGTTTCTCCCTTTCCTTTTCCTTTAAAAGGAATAAAAATCTGTCCTACACTTAAAGACAGGCCAAAGGAAGCCCGAAAGCTGTTTATTGAGATGCAATGGTCATGTATAAAAGCTTGCCCAAAAAAATCTCTTTTGATCCTTTTGAGTTAGTTTTCTAATTCAGTCAAAGGCAAAAGAGGCCTAGAGACTGGTTCCAGTATGATAAGTCAAAGACACGATTAACATTATGCTCTTTTCCAATCAGATTATGCTGTAAACAATATAGTCAGTGTTTTTTTCTGCAGTTTTCCTCCTCAACTGTCAAATCAACTAATCTTTAGACTCTGAGCATCAACTTCAAACATGTGTCTAACAAGCCTAGCATCTAAAATCTTCATGCTTGTTTCACTTTGCAACTAAAGAGCTCCGTAAATTTTAAGTTTTACAATCTTGGGTTGATAGACTAGCACATTCATTGTGGACAGTGTAAAATGGAGGAGAGGGATTTGTGGTTTTCAAAGTGTTTTATAAATACACACTAAAAATCCTGGCATGTGCTGCATTTGTATTCAAGCCCCCTAATTTTGATGCCCTAATAACAGAGCATTTATTACAGCAAACTTCCTGTTGAATCTGCTTAATAGATATAGGCATTTCTGTGTAATTCAAGCACTTAATAAATGCTGCTGTTTTGTTTTCACAGAGATTTTTGCACAGTCCCGCACTGCTGTCTTGCAACAAGAAGGTTTGATTCCTGGCCTGGGGTCTATCTTCATGGAGTTTGCATGTTCTCCCTGTGCATGTGTGGGTTCTCTCCAGGTACTCTTGCGTTCACCAACAGTCCAAAAACATGACTGTAAGGTTAATTGTTAGTTGACCTTTTCAAATTCTCCTTAGGTGTGAGTGTGCGCATCATTGGTTGCTTGTTCTGTGTGTCTCTCTGTCGTCCTGCGCTGGACTGGCGACCTGCCCAGGGTGTTCCCTGCCTCTCGCCTGTAGACAGCTGGAGATGGGCACTAGCGCTACCGCGACCCCAGCTGGGATGAGTGTGATGGAAAATGGATTAATGGATGGATATTATTGAAGAAACATCATCATGAAGATCAAGGAACACAGCAGGCAGAACAGAGATAACATAGTGGAGATAATTACATACGGTAGAAGCCATGTGTACTAAAGTACATGCATTATGAGCCCCATGCCCTCTTTGAAATGTTATAGAGGCTACATCATGCTGTGGGGATGTTTTTGCAGCTAAATATGACAGAACACTTGAAAGTGAGGCTGTGGTTAATCTTTTAACAAGCTAACATCCCTAAACATTGAGTATGTGCTAGAGTGGCCCAGTCAAGGCTTGTGTGAGAATGTGAGTTTGGCCTATATTTTACAACGAATAGTGGTCATAGATTACAGTCTGGGTGTGCAAAGCTGGTTTAGACACACAGAGCAAATCATCATATTTTTATAATTCTTAATTGGATTATCTATTTTAGATAAGCCTGTTTATATTCCTGGCAAAAATCTTTTTTTGTTGTTGTTGTTGCTCACTTAAAATCTTTATTTCTGTATTTCCTCTTGACCTCCAATTGACAACAGCAAATAGAAAAAAAAACATGAAAGCTGGAGTACAAAAAAGAAGTCTAAGTTTGACATTAACTTTAGGCGTTTGTCTCTCTGGTTTATTTTTGTTTAAGATAGGCCTGTTGTTCTATGACAGAAGTTACTCATGATGGGTAAGGTATAACCTTATTTTACTCAAATAAGAATAACAATACTGCATCATTTTTCTACTCAAGCAGAAGTAAAAAAGCATAATGCAAAAAAGTACTCATATCTCAAAAAGTTACTCAAGCATATGTAACTGAGTAAATGGAACTAGTAACCACTCAGGTCTAATGCAGCTTTAACTTTATCATTCATCACTTTGCAACTTTTTGATGAGATAAAAAAGAGTGCTACTCCAGGATCCATCTTCATAAATATATGCTGATAATCTCGGTTTCATCCTTTAACTTTGGCCAGCTTCCCCAGGCGGATTAACTTATTTTTTTCAATGAAGGAAAAGTTAAATTCTGTTTGGGGCCTTGTGCAATCTCAGACCGTCCCTGTTTGTAGTAACTCTTCTCTTACTGCTCCTTCAGCGCAGACGCATGCGTTTTTGTCTTGCCCTTAAACCTATTGCTACATTTTCACAACTATATACTGAAACTGGCATTGAGAGCTGTCTTGGAAAGAGGGACAGATGCATTTACTCGTAGCAAACATTTTTAAAAACGTCTATTTGTAGTTGTTTGCTGCATGCAGCGTGTTACCTAATTAAAAAATAAGAGGATGATTTTAGTTAGAAAATAATGTTTTTATTCACAACATATCTACATTATCTAAAAATATAAGTTAAAATAGAGGAAGGCTGATTTATTTTACATGGCATGCTGAGCGCTGTGTAAACTGAACGTATTCGGATGACTGTGGCCTATGAAGTTGAAGTAATGATGTTCTAGTCCCTGCACCGGTGACATGTATCCTCCATGCTGCTGCGTGTGCGCAGAGAGCGGCATCGCTGGATAGGAGATTCCCGGACTGCGACCAGAGCCGTGCCATGAAAAGTGTCCCGGTGCGCTCTGCTGGTACACTGAGTCCGAAGGGCTGTGGCTCGGATGCTCTGGAGAGGTATGCAGCTGGCTGATGTAGTCTGGTGATTCATGCATCGAGCCCAAAGAGCCAAATACCGGCTCGGTGACCGCGCGGGACTTGGATTGCAAGAAGGCGAGGATCCGCGCGTATTTGATGTCCTTGGTCTCAGCTCTGTCTTCTGTTGTCAGGTAGTGCACCAGGTTCTTCATGCATTCATGGTATCCATAGTGGAAATAGTTTGCGAACTCAGCCAGCAACTCGCCTGGAAAAAAATAAAACTAAATATTATGAAAAATCCGAGCAGGCAGGTGTGCGTAAAACTGAACAGTGTTTACTTAATGTTTGATCAGAATCAAGAGGTTCACCTACCCTTTTCTCTTCCACGGGGGAAATCTGCAGAGTGGAGAGCTCGCAGGTACTGAACAGTCATCTCCAAGATTTCAGCTTTTTCTAGTTTTCCAGAGTTCTAAAAAAAAAAGTGGATACATAATAAGATATCTAACAAATCTTACAAAATATCCCAACAGAAATTGGATCTTATTTTAACTTTTTGTGCGTTTATTTTACATTTTTAAACGGCAAAATGAACACTCTAACACAGTCTAGGTCAGATATTCATAAAATACCTGCTTAGCCAGCGCCATCGGTACCGTTTTTCCCAGCTCGTTTAGGCAGCGATTGATGCGATCCCGCCGTCTTTTCTCAATAACTTTGTGGGAAATGGGAGTCCTCTGCGGAGCAAAATACAGAAAGTCGAACTTAGAATACAGCTTACACGTTTCAAACAAACTCACATTTAACCAATCAAAATAAATCTGTGCTGCTCAGCGGAAAAAAGAAGGTCGACACTTTAAAAGGTTAATTTGGAAAAGATTTGGGTGCCGTGCGCTTTGGCGCGCATGTAAGTATTGCTCTGTGATGAGATCTTCTTTGCATTTAGGTTATATTTGAAATGGATAAGGTAGTCATATTTAATAGTAATGCATTTTTAAATAGATAAAAAAAAAAGATTATGTTGATGTTTAAGCTTCACCAATTGCACGCCAAAACATTTCCAGATTGCGCGCAGAATGTTAGTTCACCTCACAGCGTTAAATAACTCCAGAAAGATGCTACTTTATATAACACACATCCCAAAAATATCTTTGAAGATTAAATTTTTAAATAAAAGAGTCCTAAACAGGACAAGTAGCATGTTAGTCCTAAAATGTAAAGCGCACGCGAAGCGCTTACCTTCCTGTCCTTCATCTTTGATGCCATCGAGGAATTCCAGAAAAAAAGGCCCAAAAGAAGTTCAGCTGTATATTATAGAGCTGCGAAAATCTAGTGGGATATGAAGCAGACTGAAGTGTAAGGGAGAAACTGTCCCCTTATAAAGGGACCATCCTAGGGGACTCTGGCATTCACGGTGTAAATTATTCCATGGGATTAAAGAGCCATGCATTTGGGTAAATGTGTGCGTTTGGGATCAGTTAAAGAAACAGAAAAAAATCTGAAATAGGCAGGGGGGTAAACCTGCTTTGTTAATCCACGTGGCTTTTCAAAGGACACGTGATTATGTTTGGAATATTATTTGCATAGTAACAACCCAGGCGGGAAATAAGAACCGAGCGTCGGGATCGGCCTTGTCCGGTGGGGCGCACTGTGCGCACTCAACACAAAGCGGGCAAGCAGAGGAGAAAGGGGAAAAAAATCCCTTTCTGTTCCAACTCGCGTTTCTCACACGATCGCCTGTTTAAAAATCCCAGCAAGCGATCTTAACTCCTATCCAAGCCCCGGTCAGAGTTTTAAGGCCTGTCCAGTACCATTAGAGTAATTAAGTAAGCCTTTAATAGGCTGTTCCGCCGAGTTCAGGGGAGATCTTTTGGAGACGGAGTCCCCCCCGTTTGTTCCCGCCGGTTCTCACACGACTTGCTGACACGTCCATCTTTTATGAGAGATGGCAAGCTTTTTGTTTACGTCTCTTTATATTTTGCAGGACTCCTCGGCAGGTGTGTGATTAGCGCTGGCACACGAGCGTCGTCTGCGTCGAGGCCCGGCGTCTCCAGCAGCCTCTGGCACACGAGGGTTACCCACCACTGGAGACTCTTTGGAGAGGCTCAATTTGTATCCTATTATCCTATAAGAAAATGTCTATTCAGTGGAATGAATAGTTTCATTGGCCTAAATTTTAATAATGCAGTGAAAGAAAGGGAGAAATAAAGAAGAATGCAGCTGGTGCGAGCGCGCATTATTCCCCGTCACCTGCGAGATGCGTAGCCTGGAGACCCCTATTCATTTGCCTAATTTCGGTCAACTTAACAAACTTTGGGAGAAATTATACTGCTATTGTTGCGAAGGGTGAAGCTTTCTGATCGAATTAACAGCACGTTTTGATCCGGTAAATGTCATTAGAAAGAAAGAAACAATCGCGTTTAGAGGGGCCTGAGTAATGCGCCAAGTGGAGACGCCAGAGCGCAAAAACAGCACAAAGGCTGCTGGTAAATGCCACAGGGGGACTTTTGTACCCTCACATTGCTCAAGTTTTTTTCCCCTCAAACAAAGGGCATTATTTTATACTTGAATACATTTTCATACAACAATTGGCTGTTTCTTCTTCTTCAAACATATTTTCACAGCAAGGTCCATTGTGTGCGCACAGATTCAAACCGCTCTCATGCGCAACAACAGGTTTTCTGTTTCTTCTTTTTTTGTGTGTGTGACTGAGAACGTTTTTATCTGGAAACTTTCGACATGCTCGATGTATATTTGATCCTGTGGACGAATTAAGAGAGAGCCAAAGCTCACTAGACATCTGAAGCTTTTGGAAAGTTTCTGGAGCACCATGGAGAGAAAGGCGCGAGTGAGAGGGACGGGGGCAGAAAATCCAATTACTCCAGTGTGGAGTTTTTAACACTTTTCTTATGTATTTGTCCTATGAGATATAAAGAGACTTGCGGGTTGTTGCTTTTGTTAAGGACTAAATTAAACAGCGGAGTTTTAAAGCGTCAGACTTGGTTATGCCGAATGATGCGTCAGAGCGGAGCCAAACCCTTAGTCTGGAGTTCTTTTCCCATCCTATCCCCCCTTGTGTGTGCTATATAAAGTTGTATCTTCTGTTTCATCTAGCATCAAACATCCTAAAAACACATGATTTAATAAAAGAAACATTTTGCCTGACGTATTTGTTATCCAACGTTTTTTCCCCCTCTTTTTCTGTTTGTTTGGGCCGGTTCTTCTGCTGATCCATATATGTCAATATCTAGTATACCGTTATGATAGTGTCTCTGATTAATTTTAATGAAACATATTCTTTGTTGACTACTTAGAACAGATAAAACTAACTGATAGGTTAAGCAGACACAACATTTTTTGGTAATTTATCATAATAATCAAAACTGCAATTATAACTTGAGTTTTTATCTTTGTATTGCAAAAATGCAGATATTTTTATTTGATGCTATACAACAAAATCACCTTTTGGGATGTCTTATTGATTATATAATAATAATGATAATATAATAAAATGATAACAAGAATAATATTAACAATAATAATAAAATTAGTGTTATTATTATTATTATTATTATTATTATTATTATTATTATTATTATTATTATTATTATTATTATTATTATTATGTTTACTAAAATTATGTTTTAACTCAATGTTTCAACATTTTAAATCTGTAAAAACTTCTAGTTGATTGCAAATACTAGAAAACAAATATGTAGAAAAAGAAAAATCTTAAAGCAATCAAGTTAGACAAAAGAAACTGTTAAATTTGATGTTGATAAAAAAATTCACTGTAGAAGCAAAAAACTTTGATTAAAATTGGAATTCGAACCATGTGGCCAAGTTGGCTGCATATTTATATCAAGCTGTGGTAATTCAAATGAACAATTATTCCTTTTACAGTGATTAAAATGTTCTTAAATGTCTTACAAATTAAGAGGCAAAAGTTGTTTGCTTGTTTATAATCTAATTTAAATGTTAGAATAGTCATTTCCGCTAATAAAGTACATTGTTCAATTTTTTTTTTTTTTTGCTGAACTAATTTGGTTTCCTATCGTTCTTAATTGCTTGGGGCTATTTTATTTATTTTAGTTACTCTAAGTTTATCTTTGTGAAAAAAGCAGGCACTGAATCATAAAGAAGTCTACAGCCATACAGTCTTTCCGTGCAGAAGCGGCAGCGCTCACCGCTTTGGCCCCTTAGGTTGTCAAGCGCTGCGCTCTGACCCGTGGTGACCACCGCTGAGGGTCCCAGAGCAATCCTTTGGTCTGGTGCGCCACCCTCCGCCTGGAGCGCGACAGTTCACACGGTCCCCACTGAGTTAGTCCATATAAAAGGCTTTCCCCTGAAAACAACGCTAAAAGAAAAGCCCTGATATATGCATGAGTTGGATGTTTCATAAAACTATACAGGTTAAAATAAATATGTTGTTGTTATGTTATGTTATGTTTCCTGTTGGAAAATGAAATCTGCATCTCCAAAAAGTTGGTCAGCTGCAGGAAGCATGAAGTGCTCTAAAACTTCCTGGTATGTGGCTGCGTTGACCCTGGACCTCAGAAAACACAATGGACCAACACCAGCAGATGACATGGCACCCCAAACCATCACTGACTGTGGAAACTTTACACTGGACTTCAAGCAACGTGGATGAAGTGCCTCTCTTCTTTTCCTCCAGACTCTGGGACCTTGATTTCCAAAGGAAATGCAAAATTTACTTTCATCAGAGAACATGACTTTGGACCACTCACCAGCAGTCCAGTCCTGTTTCTCTTTAGCCCAGGCAAGACGCTTCTGACGCTGTCTGTGGTTCAAGAGTGGCTTGACACAAGGAATGCGACAGCAGAAACCCATGTCTTTCATACGTCTGTGTGTGTGGTGGTTCTTGAAGCACTCACTCCAGCTGCAGTCCACTCTTTGTGAATCTCCCCCACATTTTTGAATGGGTTTTGTTTCACAATCCTCTCCAGGGTGCGGTTATCTCTCTTGCTTGTACACTTTTTTCGACCACATCTTTTCCTTCCCTTCGCCTCTCTATTAATGTGCTTGGACACTGAGCTCTGTGAACAGCCAGCCTCTTTAGCGATGACCTTTTGTGTCTTGCCCTCCTTGTGCAAGGTGTCGATGGTCGTCTTTTGGACAACTGTCAAGTCAGCAGTCTTCCCCATGATTGTGTAGCCTATAGAACTAGACTGAAAGACCATTTAAAGGCTTTTGCAGGTGGTTTGAGTTAATTAGCTGATTAGAGTGTGGCACCAGGGGCCATCAATTTTGAACCTTTTCACAATATTCTAATTTTCTGATATGATGAATTTGAGATTTTCATTTGTTGTCATTTGTAATCATCAAAATTAAACAAAATAAACATCTGAAATATATGAGTTTGTATGTAATGTATGAATATAATATACAAGTTTCACTTTTTAAATGGAATTACTGAAATCAATCTACTTTTTCATGATATTCTAATTTTATGACCAGCACCTGTATATGCAAACGATTTAGATTCTTGTAGATGATGGAGCTTTTTGTTCCTTCAGGTCAAGTGCTCCCTCTTGTGGTGTTTTGTGGGAAGTGTAACAGGCTTTGTAAATAGGTTTGATTTAGTTTAATTAATGTAAATAGAGTCCATTTGCAAAAACTAAGAAAAGTCACTTCAAGACACTTTAAAGAGGCAATGCAATCAGATCACACAGTTAGTTTCTACCTAAGGGAAACCAACTGATTGTATATGAGAATGTGGGAACAGAAGTCAATTGCTTGCATTCTGTCATTGACTCTACAGCAATCCATCACACTGAGCATGCATGCAGCGATATTGGAGAGAAGAAAAAGCTCGACAGGAAGGAAAAACAAACACACAAAACAAACATAAATGCACTCATTAAAAAATAATGGTGAACTGAATTGTAAGGTAATGTAAACTGGCTCAATATGTGTTTAACTGATAAGCTCTGTGACAAATTTTTATGTAAAAGAATCACAGTCACAGTAAAAGCTAAGTCCATAGATATAGGAGAGAAACAGGACCAACAACTTAAAAACAGGCCCAACTCTACCATCTACAATCTAAAAACAAAAAAGATTATATATATATATATATATATATATATATATATATATATATATATATATATATATATATATATATATATATATATATATATATATATATATATATATATATATATATATATATATATATATATATATACTTTTTTTCTCTTTTTAAAATATCACATTTCAAGGATGAATGTTTTAAAATGGATTAAAGCAATGGTCTGTATAGTCATTGGAACAAACAAGAACAGTTTCAAGAATTGTTTTGTGATGAACAAGGTTACATTTACATTTACAGTCACAGTAAAAGCTAAGTCCATAGATATAGGAGAGAAAC